CAAATGGAGTCTTAAAGCATACTTGTTATTAAAAATGTTATGGTGCTTGCAAATAAAACCATCTGAATATAAATAAAGCAAATTTGTTTTCACAGACAAATCATTCTCTAATTTTCGTTTTATAGAATTCCATATTTCCTCTTTTTCAATTAACTGTTTAAGCAGTGGTAAAATTGGAATGTGTTGAAAAGACTCTTTAATGTTTGTGTTATTATCATTATTACAAGTTGTATCACCAAAAGCGTTTCCAATAATAGCACTTTTAGGCAAACTATGATCACAATTTGAATCTACACAAAAATCATTTTCATCTAAGATATCATCTTTACTACACAAATTTATTTCAAGTGGCAAAATAAGTTCTAAATTAGCAATAACTTTTTGCTCAAATTAAAACAGTTTTATATTAGCATTTGTTGTGATCACAGAAATACCAACATTTGAAAAACGACCTTAAAAGCCAACCAAAATGCCTAATTCAAATTCACGTTGATGAAATAAAGAATATGTTGTAATTGGATTAAATGTAAAACGCACGTTTTGATTGGATTAAAATATGAAACGCTTAGGATTTTTAAAATAACATTTTTAAAATACATTAATTTGAGTTTCTCCTCCGCTTACGTTTCATTAACGTAATTTTCTTTAAATAGTAAGTGAATGGAGCAAGTAAATGAAAAGTAGCGAGTAGCGATGAATCGATGTTGTAGTTAAGGGGCAACTACCCTCAAATTTCAAAACAACACATATAAAGTAAGCTTTTCTTTAGTCATATAGTAAATATTATACTGACATTAAAAATACCAAAAAATACATAAAATGGTAGCTCGTTGCTATGGCAACTCAAAAAAATAGCTAAAAAACCCACAAAAACTGTGTTTACGCCGTAAAAAAAATAAGAATTATGAGTAAAGGAGTGTCAATGAAATTTTGTAGAACTGTTCTAAATATGTAAATTTGTGATATGAGCGAAGCAGATTTTTAAATAAAAATTTTTTTTTGATAAAAAGCTACAGTCAAATTAGATTATTAAAAAAAAGGTCAAAATACAAAGAAAAAAACTAAAAAACTCAAAATCTTAAGTCATATGAGAAATTCTACTCCGCTCATATCATAAACCTTGGTAAAATGAACGATCCCTGAAAATTTCATCATGATAGCATGTATACTTTTCAAGATTTTTTTCCCGGCGTGTTTAAAAATTAAATTCTCAGAAAATACAAAACAAAAAATAAAATCATAAATTATTGTTCATTTCATAAAAATATCTTTAAAAAAATAGCTTTTTAAAAGAATATTTCAAAAACTACCAGATTCATAATATTCCTTGGATTTTTCTATTGACTTTTGATGATCATTTGATAATCGTTGACGTCGTAACATCTTTCGTTTCATCTTAAAACTTTCACTCGATTTAAATAATGATAGTTTTATTCGTTTTTTGTTTATGAGTCTGCAACCAGCTAAAGTAAAATGCCCTGGTTTCATATTTAGTTTTTCATAAATTAAAATGACAGACTTCATACCGATGTTATAATTTGCAACAGCATCGTACACTCCAAACTCTAAACTGGCTAAACCAACATAATTACTTTTTGGTAATCTATCCCATATCAAATTATTAAAACTCTCGTTGCAATTCTGGGTTTTGCCATGAAGACACTTTACTAATTCAGAATCTTTACTTAAATCAGCATATATTGGCTTGATTTTGTGAATAATATCCACAGGAATTCCAGGTCCAGGTTTGTATATGGAAGTAGACTTTGCTTTATCAATGTTAAACTTACACCAACTATCACCTCCAGTCGGGCAGTAAATATGATAGTTATTTTCCTTAGAAGAAGCTACATGGAAAAGGCTAGCTAATACTGCTTGTTTCATTTTATTCAGATCATTTGTATTGCTCCGGATAGCTACACCAAAAAAATTTTGCAAGCGATCAATAACTGCATTGGTTAGTCGACCACGACCACCTAGACCCTTAACATTTTTTTTTAATTTGTGTAAGCGAGTACCAACTCGTTTTTGGTAATGTCCTACACACTCCAACTTTTTTACCTCCATATTTGGGTATATATCTTTGATAGAAAGATGGGATTTACATACCCATCGCCAAGAAATTGAGTATATCTTAACTTATGTTTTTCGATGGAGCGTTTAAAAACTCTCACTGCGCCAACTGATTCCATACCACCAGCTGTACCTTGATAATTGTACAGGCAAATATGTTTGTTTTTCCAATTAGCATATGCATCAGGATTTGATTTTTTTAATTGTTCTTTCATACAGCAAGCTTTACATGATTTATTCATAGGTTCAACATCAATTATTTTTCCACTATCTATTAAAATTGCGGTAAAAACTCCATTCATTGACTGATATCCTCTTTTCTGCCATGATCCATCGCATGATACACCAACATCAACAATGTCCTCACTAGTTGCATTTTCTTTCATTTCAGTTGCAGCATCTGACATTGTTTCGTTTGCAACACTTTTCACGATGTTTTTTATTTTAGTTGTAATTTTTGAATAGTTTTTGGGTGTCATGGGTTTTGGCATATTCATGAGCTGAGTAAACTTTTCAATGCCAGAATGACCATGGCCTAAGACTCTCATTGCATATATTGTCCTGTTGTTAATATCAAACCCTTTATCACAAGCAACTGATGTATAAAATTCATGTTTATAGTCACAAGATAGTGTAGTACACTTTAAATATAGCAACGTTGCTAGACCTTTCTTTTTTTTCTGATGATCACCTAAGTACAGTGCACACTTTTCACATTGAGGACACATTAACAATGAAAGAACTTTAGATAAAATTTCAGTGTCTATAATTCTGTAACCAGTAATTCTTTTAATGTTTTTACTTGGTACATTTGTAACAACTTTTACTTTTTTAGCTGATGCGCCCAAAATATTTCTTTCAATAGAGTCACATTCACTTACATTACATGCATTTTTATTTTTCTTCACCATAAATCCTCTTCTTTTTTTATAGTAATTTGTTCTCTGCTTTACTCTATCATTAATATTTTTGTTCAAAATAACACCCAAATCAGTAGGTTTTGTCATATTTTTTAATTTCTGCTGTTATATAAATTAGCTTTGATAACTTGATAAAATCGTATTAAAGTAGCAATTGTAAATGGCATATAATAAGGAACAGAATATTAATTAGCAAAGAAGATATAAATCAAAGCATATATTTGAAACAGTACTCCAGGATAAGTTCACAAACAAAATATTCGCCCCCATAGCAACGCGTTGCTATGCAAATATTTTTTACTTGAGTTCAAAAAAACATAAATTAAACAAAAATTTATAAAAAAATGTTTGATTTTTTTTGCAGATTCAAAATCTGCATAAAATTTTGGTCTAAAATTATTAAAAAAAAAAAAATCAAATTTTTAAAAAAATGTGAGGGTAGTTGCCCCTTAAAGCCGTCGTTCTGTAATAAATGTAACATTATTTTGATTAACTATTTAAATTTTTGTTAGAAAAAACCTAAAAAACTAGGGTGAGTTATATATTATATACGAATAAATTCTATTTAAATTTTAGTAAAAAAAAAAAAAAAAAAAGGTTTCTTAGGTAGACAGGATTTTTAGACCGGTATGCCCAAAAAATTTCTGGATACGTCACTGAATACTACAAAAATTATTATTATAACAGAGCAAAATGCTGCTGCAAGGTGCCTAGCAACTTTTCTAACGACATAGACAAATCAGGTGAATCAGAATGAAAACAACCGATAGTTGCATTCTCACATTCATTTCCATTGTTTTGATCATCACAGTTTTCTAGATATTCGTTTTCTAATATTACAGCAGTTGAAGTATTGCAGACGTTTGTTGACAAATTATTTGAATTGTAAATTGTAGTATGTTTAATTCTAATATGCTGAAGCAAACATTTTATAGATTTATAGGATGCTGGGCAACCATCAATATTACATACAGCAAGATAACCAGCTGTATGCTCATGCATAATATGCAAATGATCTAAATATTTTTGCATAGAATACTTATGTATACCGCATGTGGAACAGGTAAAGCATATAATATTACTATTTGCCTCCATTCCAAAATATTTTACTTAAATTTAAGTTAAAAATGACTAAACTAAAATAAAATATTGAAGTTCAAAAATAATTATAAAATTAAAAACTTAAAACAACAATCAAACCAGAAATTTTCTGTCTCAATTCGGGAAGTCCCATTAATTCTAAATATCTGCAGACACCTTCTACACTCCAATTTAAATGTTCTGCCATACCAAAAACCAACGAAACACTTTAAATTCAAATAATTTTAAATCAGATTTTTTTAAATGCATTTTACAAAATACCATTAAGTGTTAAACTCCAATAAGCACGCGAGATATATAAAGAACCCTTATTAATTGTTTAAAAACACGAAGAACCTTATCGAAATTCCGAAATTTGATCAAGAACCATACAACTGCGCGAAGAACTCGTTAGCTAGTTAAAGAACCCCAAATAAATTTAAAGAACTATTTGGTGCGTCAAAGAACTCTCAAAGAACCATTTAGATTTACAGTGTAAGAGCTAGACCTCAATTGCACAAGCATTCAAAAACTCTTCTCAAAACTTCCTTTTAGTAACGCTTTTTATCTTCAATTGTTGTTTTAAATGAGCATCAATTTTTCTTTTTAAGGTGACATTTTATCTCGCTCATTCATATTATTTTACGTACAAAAATGCTAGACAATATATACTTTTTGAGTAGCAAACAGAAGCACCAATAAATATGCTTAAAGAATTATATGACATATATGGGTGACATGTATACTTGAAAAATTATTGGGGTTTGGCGCAGCTTGGCGGCTTAATCCATTATTGGTAGTAAATCATTCGCAAACTCATTTTTTTCTTAGGCAGTTACGGCAACTGGTTTCCAGTGTAAACTAGCTCAAGTACTGGTAATGAATGTAGTTACTAGCTCTCTGTGCGAACATGGTAAACTTTCTTTGTTCATTATGATTCTTTAAGAGAAACTCTGACGATCAAAGGTGTGGTGTTCAGCGATTTTGTGTAAAACTTATATGTTTTCAATATAGTTTACTAAGTAATCTATAATTTGATTTGAAATAATGGAAGAATCAGATGTTGGCGAACCACCGCCAAACATCGTTGTAGCTTCTGTTGATGCTGTAATAAAGTACTTAAGAGACGTTTCGATTAGCTTATTTGAAGAAGATTCTTATGTACTGATTGATAACGTAAGTAGTTTAGTAAAGTGTTTAAACACGATTTATTTCTAAATATTAAAATTTTTCAAAGCCACTTAGTAATACTTAAATTTTTAACATTTAAACATAGTTAAATTGTAATAAGTAGTAAATTTACCAGTTTTAGTTACTAATTCTAGATACATTCATTTTTAAACGGGTGTTTATCAATATATAATTTTGATCGATATAAGAAATAAATGTTTATTAATATGAGATCATTTAAAATTGTTAAAATTGTCCTTGTAATTGTTTTGTTAATTTTTGTCGGTTTGTATCTTTTCCAAGTTGTTTTCACTCTTTAATCTAGATATAATTTTTAATGTAATCATCAAACAGTTATTGGTTGTATTTATGTACAAGTACTGTATTTAGTGCTGTAATTTAATCTTTTGCAAAAAAAAAACTGCATTTGTAAGTTATTAATTATAAAGAAATCAAAATAAATAGTAATTTTAAAACTAGATTTTACTATAAATAGTAAAATCTAGTTTCTAAAAATCTAGTTGTAATTTCTATTTTCAAGATTAATAAGCCAAGGTTTTTAGGAATACTATTTGCTTAAATTCTTAACTGTTTCAAAGTGGATATGAAGCTGATTATTTTTTTATATATTTTCAAATTTTCACTCCAGGGGTGTCAATAAAACTTTAACTTTTAAAATGTTAGACATAATTTTGTTTTGTATAAATCATATAAACACTGATAATATATTTTACCATTTGACATTGAATAATACAATTTAACATTAAATAATACAATAAATACAGTTAAATTCTTAACTGATTCAAAGTGGATATGAAGCTGTTTATTTTTTCATATATTTTCAAATATTCACTCCAGGGGTGTCAATAAAACTTTTAAAATGTTAGACATAATTTTGTTTTGTATAAATCATATAAACACTGATAATATATTTTATCATTTAACATTAAATAATACAATTAAGAACAGTTTTCGATGATAAATATCTAAAATTTAATGCTACTTTTATCATAATTAAAAAATATTTCTGTTTAATATGCATTTTAAACATTGTTAAACCAATTTTAAAGCAAACAATGTAAGCTAATTTGTGATAATTAGTCATAAATTTGCAAAATATTAGTAAAAATGTTTGTTTTAAAAAAAAAAAAAAAAGTAAAAGGGTGAACTTAAAATTAAATACATTTATCAATATTTAAGTTCATAAGTAGGATTTTACCAAGCTGATAAACTTTTTATTACATACCAAAAAATAAAATAATAAGTTGATTTTGTAATGCATTTATGTTATTGCTTGAAATTATTAAAGAAAAAAGTCATGTCAAACTAAAAAATGCTAGTGCTAAACATGCCAAGTTAAGAAATTAAATAATTCTTTGATTTTTATATGCATAGGTTGATGTTTTATAACTTTTTTTCCCAATCAAAAATGTTACTTTTAATGTTTATAAATGACTAAACTATTTTTTATATTTTTTTTTATTTAAAAGTTTTAAAAATATTATATTATAATAATAAAGTTTTCTACTTTTTTTATCTACTTTTTTATTCTGAAAGTTATTTTTTGTTGCTATACTTTGACATAATCCCCAATTTTAAATTGTGTGAAATATCTGTGAATTGTAAACTTGTTAAAGAAAAGCCTGCTATTTATTTTATCAGCTTTTTGTATGGGTCAAAATCAGTTAAAAACTAATCGGTTTATTAAATAGTTTTTCCTAAAAGTGTTTAAAAAAACCGAGCTGTTTTTAAGTTAACGAAGAAAAATAATTTAATCACATTTTGTGTATAAAGAAATTAGCAATTATTAGCTTTTTTTAGTGTAATCTTTTAAACTTCAACATCAAATTAGAGTGCTTTCTTCAAATTTTCAGGTTAATGTTTTAATAGGATTATTAATCAGCATGAAATTCTCTATCGAAATTAATCATAAAATGGTAGGGCAACAGAACAAAACAAAACAAAATGGCAACTGAAACAGTGCCATTTTGTTTTGTCTTCTTTTGACCCATTGCCTGTAGATATTATCTATTAACTTGATTATGTTTTGTTTTTCATCAAAAGCCAATAGTCCAAAACTTAATGTGCAACATTTAGTGACATTAAGTTATTTCTTTTGGCAAACATCAAGACATTTTACGTTACAATCTGTTTTTAAAATCTATTTTAAACAGATCTCAATATAAATGGATATTAGTTTGCATAATTCCTAAAAAATATTTATAAAGTGATTTTTAACTGTGTAAATAAATTTTTTTGTAATATTTTAGGTATTTGTCACAGATTATGCAAAAGAATTGTTAAAAAAGTTTATATTGGAATCACAATGTAAATCCATTATTGTTTATCGAACTACATCATTAAAAGATGAGGTCGAAAATGAGTCAGCTGCAACTTCTGATTACTTTTATGGATTGCAGTTGTCTGTGCAGTTTATTTCTGAAAAAGAAACATCAATTGCATTTATAAAGCGGGGTGCTGTTATTGAGGCTGACAAAAAAATAAGTAACCAACTCCATATTTTAAATATGGTTAGTTCAACTCCATTTGACATGCTACACTCTTGCATTAGTAATGCTGTATCTCCTTTTTTTAAAACATATGTCAAAAAATCTGGTAAGTCAGACAGAGAAGGTGATAAGATGGTGCCATCAGTTGAGAAAAAAATTGCTGAATTAGAAATGGGGCTATTGCATTTGCAGCAAAATATTGATATTCCTGAGATTACTCTACAAATTCATCCATTTGTTCAGGGTTTATTGAAAAAAGCAGAAGCTGAAAAACGGAAAGTTACTCAAGATGATTATGCAGAAAAAGCAGACGATTCTACTTTCCTAAATTCTTTACAAAATCAAGTTAACCGATGGATTCGAGAAATTCAAAAGGTTTTTTTATTCTGATATATGAATTTATTTGTTTTTTACTTTTATGAAAATGGTTGCTGTGATGATTTTATTGAATCTTAAATAAAATGATTACTTATTATATACGCTAATCTGAGCTTCCATAATCTTATCAAGTTTAATTTTTAAATAAGGTTGAAACAAATACAATAGCATATTCTAACCATGTCTGATAAATTTGATTTAATTTATAAAATTAGGTTACTAAGTTGGAGCGAGATCCAGCCTCTGGAAATGCGTTGCAAGAGATCAGTTTTTGGTTAAATTTGGAGAAAGCTTTGCATCGAATTGAAGATAAGCAAGAAAGTCCTGAAGTAAAACTAACCTTGGATATACTAAAATTTGCAAAACGTTTTCATGCAATTGTTAGCTTTACTAATGATACTGGTATGTCAGATTTAGAAAATGTTCTTGCTATTTATCAAATTAATTGAGCATATTGTCAAATATTATTTTTATAGATTTTAAATCAAAATTGACTTCAGTTTTTTATTTATACTTGTTGAATTTATTTATTTTTAAGGTTTAAAACAAGGTCTGCAAACTGTTGCTAACTATAATCCTCTTATGAAAGACTTTCCGTTAGATCAATTACTTTCAGCAACTGAGTTAGAAAGAATTAAAGATGCTTTAGTTGGAATTTTTGGGCATTTAAAAAAAATTAAGTTATCACAATATCCTGTTCAACGGTGCTTACGTTTAATTGAGGCTATTTCTAAAGATCTAATGTCACAATTGTTAAAAGTACTTTCAACTAAGAAGCTTATGCTTATGAATTATGAAGATTTTGAAAAGGTTTGTATTAGTTTAGTACAGTTTATATATATATATATATATATATATATATATATATATATATATATATATATATATATATATATATATATATATATATATATATATATATATATATATATATATATATATATATATATATATATATATATATATATATATATATATATATATATATATATATATATATATATATATATATATATATATATATATATATATATATATATATATATATATATATATATATATATAGTAATTGTTGTTGTGTAGGTAATGATTGGGACATTTTCTGTTTTACTTGCTTGGGATGATGAGTATGATCGTCTGCAGCAAATCTTGCGTGATATGGCTAAAAAAAAAAGAGACGATAGCCTCAAAACAATGTGGAGAGTTAATCCTAGTCATAAAAAATTGCAAGCACGATTAGATGATATGAGAAAGTAAATAATATATTTTATACAAACTTTTTTTAAGATTTTTACATCTTCCAGTCTTCTCTGTTTGAAATTTAATGCCAGCACACGAAAGAGTGCTGGCAAAATGGTCATTTTTAACTTCTTTTTCCTGCTATATAAATATAAAGAAAACAACATAAACAATGTTTTGAATAAATACTAGAATAATGATATAAAAAAAACTGGTTAAAAAAACCCTTTTTTTATAAGAGTTACCAAATAAACAAAAGGTTTTATTGCAACTGCATAAATTAAACAATAATAATTTTTTTATGCAATTATTAAATTATTATTTATTTGTCCATTAGATTCCGAAAACAACACGAGCAGTTAAGAATTGTGATATTAAGAGTGCTGCGTCCTGCAACTGCTAAACTTTCCATTGAAGTTGTTTCTGATAATATTGATGAACATATGGTGGATATGGCAGATGCAAATGCGGTTCAAGAGGTTGATCTTGCTTATGAATATTTCAAAGAAGTTGATCCATTAGATGTAACCAAAGATGGAAATGAAGCCTGGGAAACAGCTTTGAAATAGTATGCTGTTTAATAATTTATATTGCATGTGCTTCAACTTTTTAGATATTCTTGTAAAGCGTTTAAGTTAATAACAAATTTTATGAATAATTTATTATAGTTATGGAGAGAGAATTGACAGAGTTGAAACTAGAATAACAGCCAGACTAAGAGATCAATTAGGAACAGCCAAGAATGCTAATGAGATGTTTAGAATATTTTCTAGATTTAATGCTCTTTTTGTGCGTCCCAGAATAAGAGGTGCAATTCGAGAGTACCAAAAGTTACTTATTGGTTTAGTCAAGGAAGATATTGATTCTTTACATGATAAATTTAAAGTTCAATATCCTCATAGTAAAGCTTCAAAGATGAGTAAAGTTCGTGATCTTCCTCCAGTATCTGGATCAATTATTTGGGCCAAAGAGGTTTATGTTTAAATTAAATGTATTGTCTGGCTTGTACATGTTTTCTAAACTTATTATAACCTAACTAATGTCCAGTTGGTTAAAAAATAATAAAATTTTAAAAATTTGATATTTAGATTGAAAGGCAGCTTCGAACTTATCTCAAGAGAGTTGAAGATGTTTTAGGTAAAGATTGGGAAAACCATATCGAAGGGCAAGGATTAAAAGCTGACGGTGATAATTTTAGACAAAAGCTTAACACTCAAGAAATATTTGATGATTGGTCCCAGCAAGTTCAACAGAGAGCTCTTCTTGTTGTTGGCAGATTGTTTGCCATTGATTCACATAAGACAAGAAGTGGCCCTATTAAAACAATTCTTAGGATCCGTGTAAACTTTTTAAAAGAAGTAATAACACTAGCTAAAGAGGTTAAAATAATTTTATAATTATGATTTTATAGTTATATTTATAAGCTTAGTAACTTGAAATTTTTATGTTATAAATTTTCTTAAAAAATTAAATTTTTAAAAATTTATAGGTCAGGAATTTAAAATGGCTTGGATTTAGAGTACCACTAGCCATTGTTAGACAAGCAAACGACGCCAATCAATATTATCCATCAGCAATATCGCTTATTGAGAGCATTCGAACATATGAAATAACAAATAATAAGGTAAATAATTCTAAAAAATGTATTGGTTGCATATGAAAATATGCATACATTTACATGCACATACATGTACACATTTTATAGAAATAGATGATGACAAATTGTATATATATATATATATATATATATATATATATATATATATATATATATATATATATATATATATATATATATTTGTTAACTCAAATCCAAATAGTTTTTCAAGAAAAAAGAAAAAATACAAAAGAATGTCTTTTCTGTTCTTTGTATCTTGATAATAAATCTGCTCAAAAATATTTTATATACTTTAGGTACTTGAAAAACCAACTATTATTCCATTAGTTGCTGGAGTTAGACGTGATATTCAAACTTTAGTTGCAGAGGTAAATTTTTTGTTTGTTTATTATATATATTTATATTGATAAATTGTTGGTTTTATAAATCATCATATTTAGGGAATTGGTCTTGAATGGATGTCTTATAAACTGATGCCTTATGTGATGAGACTTTCTGAAGCAGTAACTGGATATCAAGAAAAGGTATTTATTTATTACTTTTAAAATCTTTTCATATAATATGGTGCAGGGATTATCCTTTTCCAGATATTTTGGAAATTCCAAATATTTTTTATAACTTCAAATTTTTCCGAATATCAAAATATTTTTTATACATACAAGGTTAGGTTTTATTTTTGGGATATATTTATTTTTTAAGCTTTTTCACTCATCGCTTAGAAAAATAAAAGTTTGAAAAAAAAAAATCAAAGCAAATCAGCTAAAAACAAAATTAGGATAAAAAAAAAGAAAAAAAATATTCAGGAATTTTTCTGGATATTCTACCCACACAGTTTTCCAAATTTCTAAAATATGGCGTGGATGATCTATGAATGTTCTGTTATGTTTTTATATTGCAATTTTACTGTTATAAAATTTAAGAATATGTTTAATATGTCAATTCTAGATTCTCGTAAAGATATTTGAGAATATTATATTCTCCAATATCTTTATAAGAATCTAGAATTGACATATCGGTATGTTATACCAAATACTAAAATTAAAATAATTATTTTAATAAGTATGACTTTAACAAATTTTAAAATTATTTCAGTATTAAAATGAGGAAGACTTTCTCACTACAAAAACAATAAATCACATGGTTTTTTTCATATAAGAATGCTTGTCAACTTCTTTACGTAACTTTTTATCAAAACTATTACTGTAATATTTAATTTTTTTTTAATTATTTGTATATAATATATAACTTGCCCTATTATTTTAACTTTTTCTAATTAAAATTTAAACAATCAACCAAAATAATGTTACATTTAATTCAGAATGACAGGTTTAACTCCAACATAGATTTGTCGCTAATTGCTAATTTTCATTGCTCTATTTGCTTACTAATTATAAATAATAATAAATACTAAATATTAAATTACAGTCATCAAATTATTAAATTAAAAATATTAAATATTATCAACTATAAATATAAAAAATATGATTTCATAATCAAGCAATAACTAAAACATTTAATAAATAATATTTGTATGTCTCTTCTATATAGACTAGAAAAGATTTATTACATAGCGTATTTATTGCATAACAAGGTCAATTCATTTGAAATTTTAATTTCTCCATTCAAAAATTAATAACTTTTTTCTAGTTCTACTCTTACTTTTAAAATCAGGTTTTATGGCGCGAATTTTAATAATGTTATGATGTATTAAAAACTTTTATTGGTTTTATTAAAATATTTTTTGATACAATTTTACTGTTACATAAAATAAAAAAGTTTAAAGCTCATAGTTAAATTGCTTGAAAAATGTTATGAAAACGTAGGCAAAAGAGAAACTCAAACTAATGTATTTAAATGTTATATAAAAATTATAAGCATTTCATATTTTATTCCAATTAAAAGGTGTGTTATAGATTTTAATCCAAATACAACATTCTATATTTCATCAACGTGAATTCGAATTAAGCATTCTGGTTGACTTAGAATACATTCACAACGTATTTCAAAAGTCATTTTTCAAAAGTTGGTTTTTTTAAGTGACATTAATATCATAACAAATGCTAATATAAAATTATACTTATACCGGTATACTGGTATTAAAATCTGGATATGTTGCTGTTAACCCCTAACACTGACTATTATTACATATTGAGTTTGTATTTCTTTAATAATTTCATTCCACAAACTAGTCAGCATCACACTCTATTATAAGTGTGATGTGTTACAGATGTGGTAGAAAATACCTTTGTCAAAGATACATGATGAATTATTTTGTTTTAAAATAAGAAGCATGAATTTTTCTCAATATACACCTTTCTGAGAGTTGAATGTTCTTTATATAGAATATTCTTAGTAAGAAACGTGACACCTTTTCTTAGTATTTTACTTGGTGTCATAAATGATTAATAAAATAAAGTAATATAATTACTTAAATTTAAATAGTAAACAATCTTCAAAATTATACAAAATAATTCTTTTTGCACCCAATATTGTACTATGATGTATAAATTAGTATCAAAATGAAATTAAATGATTTTTTGATAGGAAGAGACTGAGTACAATAAACATCTGTTATGTCTTTTAATACTAAATGTATTGAAAACAATAACATAAAAATAACAGTGTAGAGAATTGTTACCAATTAAAATAAAATACCAAATGGAATGTATTTGTCCCTAAATCTATTACATAATTACTTGTGTTAATAGTAGTTTGACTTATAGCTGTGCAATCTTATCCTACTAATTTACCTTAATTTTCTTATTTTTTTGAATTGTTTAATATTTTAATTTATGTATTGTAAAAGCTGGTTTTAAGTTAAAATTAAATTTTAAATTAACTATTTTAATTTGGTCTAGGTTGAAGAATTACTTACTAGCATTCAGAAAATTGATATTGAAGTTCAATCTTTATCTACTTGTGCTTATAAGCCTGAAGTGTTTGAGGAAATTCTTTCAAAAATACAGAAAGCTGTAGATGAGTTAAATCTGCATAGTTATTCAAATTTAAATGCTTGGGTCCGTAGTCTAGATGAACAGGTTATATGTTTTAAATATGTATACTAAATACATCAAATTTTTTTAAAAAAACTAATAAATAAATTTTGCATCTTAAAATGTTGGTTTTGAATGTTGTAGTTCTTTTTGTCTTGAATCTGAGTTATGTATTGACAATTAGGTTGAAAACAAACTTGCTGCCCGCCTGCAAGCTGGCTTAAAAGAGTGGATAAAATCATTAAAAAAAGAAAATGAACTTATTGATGACAAAGAGTTAGCTGCATACAGACCTGGAGGGTTTGCAGACATCAAATCGATGCGCATTGAGTTTCATATAATGAATCATGTCATTAGTGTTAATCCATCTGTAGAAAGTTGTAGAGAGCATCTTTACAACGAATATGCTTCTTGGGTAGAAGTAATTACAGGGTTACGTAAAATACAAAGCCAAAGATATCAGGTATTTTAATTTTTTATTATTAAACACAACATAAATTTCTCTAATTCTTAATTATTTTTATTATTACTTGCACTTAAACAAATCAAATTTTTTGGTTTATAATATTGACTACTACAAATAAGATTACTGATAATTTTTTATGATTCTGTTTAAATGTATTAAAACAATGTTTCATAGGTAGGAATTGAAGTTCATGAGGAGGTAACTACTAAGTATAGAGATTTATTAGAAAAATTACCAGATCCATCTGGAATTCAGACATATGACGTTTATGTTGAAATTGAGCATTTGATGAACTTAATTACAGTTTATTGCAAAGAATGGCTTAATTTTCAGTCTTTATGGGATGTTGAAATGGTCAATGTTCTTCCTCAATTAAAAACACTTGAAAATTGGATGGATATGCTTGGGGACATAAAGTAATTTTTTTATCAATTTTAAAAGGGTTAAATTACACACTTTTACATTTTTCTTTTACTTGATGTTAATTTTGGTTATAGGGCAAGTCGTCACACTTTCGACACAGCTGAAACGTTTAAAGAATTTGGTCCAATAATAATTGATTTCAATGCAATTCAAACTAAAGTAAATTTAAAATATGATACACTTCAAAAAGCTGTTGTTCAACAATTCGGTACTCGTCTGGGAGAAGAAATTTCAGATTTTTTTGTAAATGTTTCTAAGGCTAGAAGTGATTTAGAACAACAGTCACTTGAAGTAGCTAGTACAGCAGAAGCTGTAACATTTATTACTTATGTGCAAGGGCTTAAGCGCAAAATTAAACTATGGGAAAAAAGTGTCATGGAGTTCCGTGAAGGTCAAAAAATTCTCGAACGTCAAAGATATCAATTTCCAACATTTTGGTTATATTCTGACAATGTTGATGGAGAGTGGGGAGCTTTTAATGATATTTTAAAGAGAAAAGATAGTGCTATTCAGAATCAAGTAATTAATATATTTTAATTTTTAAAAGTATAAGTAAAATTTAGATTACCTTAAAACTAAACATTTTTGATATATTAGAGTTGTCTTTATATATATTTGTGTGTGTAAATCTAGATATCAACATTGCAACACAAAATAATTGCTGAAGATCAATCAGTTGAAGAAAGGACATACAATCTTCTTGTTGAATGGGAGAAAGAAAAACCTGTTTCAGGTGTAATTAAGTCTGAGACAGCTCTTAATACTCTGGCTATATTTGAAGGTAAATTTAATCGTCTTAAAGAAGACAGAGATAATATTCAAAAAGCCAAAGAAGCTCTTGAGCTCATTGAAATCGGAAACTTGCCTCCTTCAGAAGAACGTGTACAAGTAGCTATTGAAGAGCTTGTTGACTTCAAATCAGTTTGGAGTGAATTAGATAGAGTTTGGTCTCAACTAGATGCTTTAAAAGAACAAACATGGGTTTCTGTGTTACCTAGGAAGGTATAATAGTAATAACATAAATAGGTTAAAAATACTATTGATAGTTAATATTTAAAGATTTTAAAATTGTATTTGCTTTATAGCTTAGACAGTCTTTGGATAATATTGCCAATGGATTAAAGTTGTTACCAGCAAGAATGAGACAGTATGCTGCATTTGACTATGTGCAAAAAATTATCAAAGGGTATCTTAAGGTAATATATTCACTTTCATAACACAAGTTAAATAGTGCAATAAGTTATCCTGATATTATGGAATACTATTTGAATAACTTATTTTACAGTTTTCAAAAAGTTTTTGTTAACTTATGGGAATTAAACATGATTGAATATACATTTTTTTTAGGTTAATGTCTTAATTGTGGAATTAAAATCAGAGGCTCTAAAAGAGCGTCACTGGAAACAATTGACAAGAAAATTAAATGTGAAGCTGTCATTTACTGATTTGACTTTAGGCCAAATATGGGATTGTAACCTCGAAAAAAATGAACTTATTGTTAAAGATGTTATTAGTGTAGCCCAAGGGGAGTTAGCTCTTGAGGAGTTTTTAAAACAGGTATATTTATACATTCATTATTCAAATTGCAGTTTTTGGTTTAAATTACTGATATTTACTTGTTACACTTACTTTCATTATAATTTGGTAATCTTACTTTTTTTTTCTAATACATTAACTTAATAGGTTAAAGAAGCCTGGCAGTCATTTGAATTAGAATTAGTTTCATATCAAAATAGATGCAAATTAATTCGTTCCTGGGATGAATTATTTGATAAAGTGAAGGAGCATATCAATAGTGTTTCAGCTATGAAGCTTTCTCCTTATTACAAGGTAACAAATTTTATAGTTTTCAAAATATAGTTATATTTCAAGATTTATTAAAAATCTGATCAAAATTAAGGTATTGTTGTTTGAGAATTTAGGTGTTTGAGGAAGATGCTGTACAATGGGAAGATAAGTTAAATAGAATTTTAAACTTGTTTGATGTATGGATTGATGTTCAAAGAAGATGGGTCTACTTAGATGGTATTTTTTCAGGTAGTGGAGATATACAGCATTTGTTACCAATTGAAACGCAAAGATTTGGAAGGTATAAATTTTATCTCAGTTATTTTATAGAGTGAAAGTAAAATTATTTTTGAATATTAAAGTAATAACCAAATTTTTTATTTTATTTTTATAAAGCATAAGTTCTGAATTCTTAACATTAATGCGCAAAGTTGGAAAGGCACCTTTAGTTCTTGATATTTTAAACATTCCTGGAGTACAACGTATACTTGAGCGTTTAGGTGATTTACTAGGAAAGATTCAAAAAGCACTTGGAGAATATCTTGAACGTGAGAGAGCATCTTTTCCTAGATTTTATTTTGTTGGTGATGAAGACTTACTTGAAATTATTGGTAACAGTAAAAATGTTGGTAGGTTACAAAAGCACTTTAAAAAGATGTTTGCTGGTATTCATACAATTTCTTTAAATGCTGACTCAACTGTTGTTAATGGAATTTGCAGTAAAGAAGGAGAAGAAGTAATATATTTTAATCTATTTCTATTTTTTAGTTGATTTTAGTAGTCAAGTTGCTTGATATCTCCTTCAAATTTAGGTTCATTTTATTACTCCTGTTTCTTTAATTGACTTTCCAAAAATAAATGAGTGGCTTAGTAAAGTTGAAGAGCAGATGCGATTGACTTTAGCAACATTGTTAGCACGTTCTATTAAGGACATTCAAGCTTTTAGTGGAAAAGAAATAGACACTGCAACATATATGAATTGGGTTGATAAATATCAAGCTCAGTTAGTTATTTTATCTGCTCAGATTTTTTGGTCTGAGCAATGTGAAAATGCTCTTGTTTCGATACCAAATGGAGATACTGCAAAAATACACGAGGTTTTAGCAGTTGTTGAGAAAACATTAAATATTTTGGCTGATTCAGTTTTGCAAGAGCAGCCTGTTGTTCGACGTCTAAAGCTTGAGCAATTGGTATAAATTATATTTTTCATTGTTATTAATGCTATTGATTTATAAAATAATCCACGCTCAATATTTTATATGATTCTACACAAAATTTTGTGTAGAATCAAATAACACAAGATTCACTAACACAAGACTAATTTTAGGATAAAAATTTCAATTGCAGACATCCCTCTCAAGATGCTGCTTTTTTGGCTTTAAAATTAGATTTATCTTTTAAATATTATGAAGAACGCACTTATAAAAATAAACTAATAAAAGTCTACTGATTTAGTTAAATAAGTCTACTGACCTAAATACTGGTTCAATTACTTCTGAAATATTTTATCACTGTATACTTAAAAATGTAAAATATTTATACTGATTATTTAAAATAGATAACTGAGCTTGTTCATCAAAGAGATGTGACTAGAATGCTTATTAAACATGGTACACCTGATGCCAAATCTTTTCAGTGGTTATCTCAAATGAGATTTTATTTTGATCCGAAGCAAAAGAATGTTCTGGAACAGCTTTCAATTTGTATGGCAAATGCAAAATTCAATTATGGTTTTGAATATCTTGGTATCCAAGAAAAGCTTGTTCAGACCCCATTAACAGATAGGTGCTATTTAACAATGACACAAGCATTAGAAGGCCGATTAGGTGGTTCTCCTTTTGGTAAGTTTTTATTCTTTTTTATGTTATAACTAAAAAATATATATAGTTGGTAAAATTAAAGTTTCTATTTAATGTGTTTTCAATTTCTAGGCCCTGCCGGTACTGGTAAAACTGAATCAGTAAAAGCACTAGGTAACCAGCTGGGAAAGTTTGTATTAGTATTTAATTGTGATGAAAATTTTGATTTCCAAGCAATGGGAAGAATTTTTATTGGGTTATGTCAAGTTGGTGCATGGGGTTGTTTTGATGAATTTAATCGTCTTGAGGAAAGGATGTTATCAGCTGTTTCACAACAAATTCAAACTATTCAAATAGCTCTCAAACAAGGTTGTCCTGAACCAGGTAAATACTTATTTGTATAATTAGAAAAGTTTGAGTATTAATAGTAAAACTGAAACCTATGATGAAACACATAATTGATAACATTATGATAAATAAGCATTCCTCTAAGAAGTACTGAGGTTTCTGATATTTTATGTTATATTTTATTAAGACTCATACAATTTATTATTATTATTATTTTTTATTTAAGAAACATCCTTGGGCACACTGCATTATAAAATGCTAGTTTTTTTAACCTTTTTATACTATTTTACATATTGTAAAAGTTATAGATTTGAATGAGAGGGTTCTTATAATTATTATACATAGTCTTCTCCCTGAAGCCAGTGCTTTTGTGCTTGAGTCTTTTCGTGCTTGCCCACAAACGTTAATGTTAAAAATGCTTTAAAAACAAATATTTAATTTTATTTAAATTCAGCATAACTAAAAATAAATTAAAATTCTACAGTTAAAAAAAAATTATTTAAAATGTAATATTGTTTGCATGGCTAAATAAGATAATATTTAATTATTTTATCTTTAATCAAACATGCTATACAAAAAATGTAGTTCATTTGCAGTTAGATTTAATTGTAATCTACTCTGTCAGATGCTATCAAACATTTATTCTTAAGTTCTTATTGACAACAATTTAACTAATTTTTATTTATTTTGTTTTCTAATAATTTAAAGTAACATTTTAAGTTCAATTTTCATATTACAGGTGTTCCGATTACCATACAGTTAATTGGAAAAGAAGTTAAAGTCAGTGAAGAAATGGCAATTTTTATAACAATGAATCCTGGCTATGCAGGAAGATCTAATCTACCAGATAATTTAAAAAAATTGTTTAGAAGTCTTGCCATGACAACACCTGATCGTCAATTAATATCTCAAGTAATGTTGTATTCACAAGGCTTTAGGACTGCTGAAGTTCTTGCTGGAAAAGTTGTACCTTTTTTCAAGTAATACTTTGAAAATTTTTTTGTTTTAATATTCATACCAGAATAAAAAGTTAATAAAATTATTTTTATTCTAATATTTCATGTCAGTATTTTTATTTCTTTTTTCAAGGTTGTGTCGTGAACAACTTTCATGTCAGTCACATTATGATTTTGGGTTAAGAGCTTTAAAAAGTGTTCTTATTAGTGCTGGTAATGTCAAGCGTGAAAAAATATTGCAATTAAAGAAAAATTTAAATGTTCAAGAAATAAATGAAACACGTATTTCTGAAAATTTAAATGAACAAGAAGTATTTATATTTTATTTGTTATAGTAATTTTATAGTAGTTTATTAAGTAATCATTAAATGTTCTGCTAACAGATAATCATTCAAAGTATTTGCGAAACAATGATTCCAAAGCTAATTGCAGAAGATATTCCGCTAATTCACAGCTTGTTAGCAGATGTGTTTCCAGGAGTAAAGTATGTAGGTGCGGAGATGTCAAGTCTACGAAATGAAATTATGAAAGTTTGCAAAGAAATGTATCTTGTGTATGGTGAAAATGTTGATTCGGGTGCTTTATGGGTTGAAAAGGTAATACTTTAAATTTGTAAAATTAATAACATTAATAGTATTACTTTTTTGTATTCTCTTTTAAATAAATACTGTTAAATTAATACTGCTTTATGAATTCAAAGTTTTTATATACTGGTTACAAAATTATTGTTTACATTAACTCGCCACAGTAAATGTGAACGGTCCCAAGTCCGTAAAAAAAGTAGGAGGGGTGTAAACAATATTTTTTTAAAATCATTTAGTATTGCATACTCTTTGGCTAAAAACTTAAATATTATAATTGTAAATTCTGTAAAAAAAAAAATCAGAACTTTGCATGTGTATTTTGTAATTTAATTTTATATATATATAAAAAAAAACATAGCAAATTCATTTTAAATAATTAAATATTTTGTAATTATATTTTTCAAAACTTTGCAGAATTTTTGAATGAAATTGCACTTTTTAAAATAAGAAGTTTTCTTTCTAGTTTAAAATATTTTCTATGAAATAAATATCTAAATTTCATATAAATAAAATTAAACAATAATAAATTTAATATTGGATCAAATCTTTTATATTTTCATTTTATTTGAATATTAAAATAAAAATGTAAAAGATTTTATTAAGTTAAGAATAAATAGTACCTAAAATATGAACATAGTGAAAAATAATAAGTTTTACATTACTATAAACAGGGTGGCCAAAGCTCCTCTAAAGTCCTCTTTTTTCAAAAAACCTCTATTAACTTGATAATTTTGAAGTTTAATTATATCCCCTTTTAACCTCATTTTTTTTATTTCTTAATGGCACTTAGTTTAAAATTCCTGATCTGCAAAACTGATTGTGTCACATAAGGCATTAGGATGTAAAAAAATCAACTTTAGCAAATCCATATCTAACAAAAATAGTATTTTTTAACTCCTGTTCTAAGCCAAAAATGTTAAAAACAGATGTTAAACCCATTTAAAAAATCCTCTAAAATCCTTAATTTTCATTTAAAACAGTAGTTTTGAGAAAAAAATCCTTTAAATTAAATGCGTAAGCTTATCTAAAATCCTCTTTTTCTTATAATCCTCTAGTTCTATTTTAACTATGTAGACAAAGATTACTTAATAAAAAAAGAATTTGTATTAATTGTCATTTTAATTTCATTATTGATTGTTTTTTTCAACTTAACAAATTAACTTAAATTTGTTAAGTCGCTGAGTTTCAAAGCATAGACAATACTATTCTGTTTTTGAATAACTTTTGCAGTATTTGATAGTGATTTTTTTGTATCTGTTTATTTTAATCAGATTTAGATAGCCAATAAAAAAATCTTGCAAATTATTATGTGAACTTAAAAGGCGTAGATTTGCTTCAAATCTTAAAACTAGAGAGTTAAGCGTGTTACATTCAGAGTTTTGTTTGATTTATAATGGTTGTTAGATAAACACCAAATCAGTTACAGTTTCTATAATTCAAAATTATTAAGATTGCTAAATTCTTTATGACTGATTTTTGTCATATGTTACTAATTTTTCATTTTTAATCTCTATGACTATGATTTTGATCACATGTTATTAATTTTTAAAGAGAATAGTAGCAATATTATTTATGATTAAATCAAGTGGTTTTTAGCATTATTAAATTTTATAATATGCTGTTATAAAAAGGTAACTGCTTTTTACTGAATTTAAGCAACAGTTCCTAGTATAGACCTATATATAGAGTAAATTTTATTTATATAAAAACTTTCAGATTTAAAATTAATATAAAAGTCGATATATAAATGATTAAATATTTCTTCTTTCTTAACGTCTTTGTGGGAAAGAAAAGTAGCTTGGCGTCTAAATCACTAAATAATTTGCTAAATGTCATTTGAAAAATTTCTCATTTACTAAATCTCCTTCGCTCAGAGGCACATGAGTTTGCAAATGGTCATTAAATTATTCATGTGTTTAGTTTTAATTATTGTCCTATAATTGAACCCGTCATTTCGAAAAGGGCACAAGTCCATTTATTAAAACTTTTCAGGATCAACAGAAATAACTTTATTAGAAAAAAAGTCAATGGTGCTAAAGAAACTAAAGATAACAGTAGATATACAGGCTTTTTTGATAATAAAAATTAGAAAAAATTTATTAGAAAAAAAGTCAATGGTGCTAAAGAAACTAAAGATAACAGTAGAAATACAGGCTTTTTTGTATATAAAAAACCAAAGATTATCAGAATAATAATGATTTATCATTATACAAAAACATTTATTGTTAGGTAATCATCAATTATTTCTCAGAATTGATTGTTTGCCGAAGTTGTTGGCGAAGCAAAAACCTTTGTATAGAAGTTTTGGTACTCTTCTATTGAATATGGAATATATTTTCATATATTTTTTAAATCTGATATATTTTTTTCATTGATAGGTAATTTTCCAACAAATGCAGGAGTACTACTTAATGGTAAGGTTGACCGGGTACCCATCCTTTGTAATAGCTGGAAATTATAACTGACTAAGCAATCTATGGATTCACATGTTTTCACTAAACATGCTGTGGTATTAGAGAATGTGAAGTGTGAAATTTTAGAAATACCAAAAGTAAGTTTTTGTCCTTGGGTACTCCTTTTTTATAGGAATCCACAGATAGCACAAGTTTCTTATAATGGTTTAGCCACTATTTTTTACATCGTTGGTGTGTAAATCCGATCATGTTTTTGAATGTCGTTTTGCTGTTCCAAACATTCTATTGTTTGGCAAGAATGAGTGACCTCTTTTTGGTATGTAATATTGTATCTCATTTATATTGCTATCTAGTTCAGCTACCAGTGATGAAAGTATTCGGACCGTGGCATGATTTCTGTTTTGGCCTGCACAACCATCAGAAAATAGGTGCAGTTCTTTGGCTTTGTTGCCAATACTTTTAAAAATATAATTCAGCACGAAGGTACATACTTCGCTCACGTACTTTTGTTAATGTATCTCCAGGTAATGCGTTGCATCGTGATCACAGAGATTTACCTCTGTAATCTATAGGCTGCTTTTTTTTTTTTAATAAAATGCATAAATGTCTAAATTGTTTCATAGAAATTCCATGCATACAGCAAAAAGATTTCTTGCGTACTTTTCTTTTCACACCTTTCTAAACCAATTTCCCTCTTTTCAATCAATGACTGCAAGTATGTGTCTTGAGCATTTTTACAATTTGAATCAAAATCTTGAAAATCAAAAATATGATATTTTTTCAACAAATAAAAGCAACTCCCTTTTTTCTGAAATCATTGTAATAAAAAGTTATTTTTAATAATTCAGACAGTTTAAATAAGACATTAGTCACAAGATTTATAAAAATAGGCAAGGTGTATTCTGGTCTCTTCTTAGCACTATCTTTTGCATGCACATTATGTCTATAAGTTAAAAAGAATAGTAAATGCATTTGGTTTTGTTAAAAAACCAAAAGTACTTTACAAAACCAAAAAATTAATATCTTTATTCTAGTGGTTGATTTCATTAAGTTTGTTTATTTTGAAATCTTTGCATGCACATTATGTCTAAGTTAATAAGAATAGTTAAATGCATTTGGTTTCGTTAAAAACCAAAAGTGCTTTACAAAACCAAAAAATCAATGTCTTTATTCTAGTGGTTGATTTCATTAAGTTTGTATAGTTTAAAATCTGACTCTTTTGTTTTGTTTTATAAGTTAATTGATTAATGTGATTTTAAAGGTTCTTCAATTGTATCAAATATCATGTATTCATCATGGTTTAATGATGGTGGGTCCCAGTGGATCAGGGAAATCAATGGCATGGAAGGTTTTACTAAAGGCTTTAGAAAGATATGAAGGGGTTCAAGGGGTTGCGCATGTAATAGATCCTAAGGTATACATTTTTATATTTAGATAAATTAATTCTAGTATAGTACAATTATTTTTATTTAGGGCTGTATTTCACAAGTTATTTTGTTATAATCTTAAGCTATATCTAAAGAAGATCTATATGGTGTACTTGATCCAAATACTCGAGAATGGTCTGATGGACTCTTTACACATACACTCAGAAAGTTAGTATATTTAACTTATTTGTGTTATTTTGTAAACTAATAAATTAGTATTTAAGTATTAATCATTTCTATTCAGAATTATAGACAATGTTAGAGGTGAGCTGACAAAGCGACAGTGGATCATATTTGATGGGGATGTTGATCCAGAATGGGTAGAGAATTTAAACAGCGTTCTTGACAATACAAAATTGCTAACTCTTCCAAATGGTGAACGTTTAAGCATACCCCATAATGTATGTATTTATTTAAAGATAAATGTGATTATTATCTATCATAATATGTCTAGAGTGTTAATTAGTTAAACTAAACTACATAAAATCTATTCATAGTGCATAAATATTTTTGGTGACTATTAATAAAGATAAGCGTTGACCACAAATATTTTATTTTGTTTACACAATTGGGTTGTGTTATCCTTCTCTTTTTTTTACAATTATACTCCAGTGGTTATATAAAAACAGTGGTAAGTCACAGCGTGCAGCATGTCTGTTTAATTTGGCATATAGTGTCCTAGTATATGACAACGAGTGAAAATGAAAGTTGTAATTTAATATAAGGTGCTGTGTTTCAACAAAATAAAAGTAAACGTAATATTATTTACAAATCTGCTAATCCCTCGCCCTGTCAAATAAAAAAAGTATTTTATTAGTAACTTGTACTAACAAATATTAAAATAATTTTAAATTCATGTTTTATCTCTCTTACATTAAGTTAAGAATACTTAAAACAATATTATTTTTCCTACTGGTAGAAAAATAAATTGTCTTACAAATTAGAAAATATTTAACTAACTTGCTTTTTTTTAAAGCTTAAAAAATTGATTTAAATAAAATTAATATTGTAAGCTGAAAATATTAGTTAATAAAAGAATAAATTAGCGTGAAAATAAAAAAGCATGGGCTAAATAATCATTTCATTTTTTCTAAAAAATTTCTTCAAAAGTCATTTTAAAAAGCATTACAAAATATTAAGTGCTACTTTGAAAGTACATTGTTTTCTTTTTCCTGTTGAATTGATGTTATTGCTATTATAATATTATGTAGCTTTCAAAATACTCAGAGTATTCTTCAAAACTAGTTCTTTTTTACATAAGCCATGCTTTATATTGTACAAGATTTAAAAAATTCCTATCTTAAAAAATTATTATAATTTGAAAAACCATTTTACAAATAATCATATAAATATTATACATTTGTATTTTATAATTTATTTTTTTTAATTAAAAAAATTAGTTTTACTAATAGTTTTTAACTTATTGAGGCTCATTTGAAGTCAAATTATAAACAAAAGAAGATATTTAATTAATTTTTTTAATCTTTGTGGGAAAGCCTAACAAAAAGTATCTATAAAAAGTTGTGTTATCAAAATTGGTGCATTATCTCTAGCACTTTAAATAATACCCTACATGCTTTTTTGCAACTAAACATCTTTTTTGCATTGTCCATGCGAGTCTAAATAAATTTTATTGGATTTAAAGCTGGTGATAGAGCAGATCATGACCATTAAATCTATTTTGTATTTCTTTTTATCTGACTTTGTATAAACTGGTGGAACTAGGTACCAAATCTTGTTAAAACTGCCACTAATTCATTCAATTAGTGGCAGTTTTAACAAGATTTGGTATTAAAAAAAAAAATATTTTTTTTTTTAAAAAAAAAATTATTTTTTTTTTAACTTTACTTTAAGTGGTTATTTCATTAAAGTTTTGGTTTAGTTTTTTTAAAACAAAATCCTGAAAATAAAATTTTTTGTTAATATCTTTATAATTTGTTTTAAATAATTTTATCAGCTCTTGACTTTTAATTTCAAAAGTTTAATTAAAATATGAACCCAAATGCCCTGGAATAAAAGCCATGTGTAATCGACCAAATTTCACAAAATTAAAATTTAGTTCAACTATATTTAAGTGACTGCTGTCTTACTCATGTTTTCATTTTATGTTTGTTATGTTTTATGTCCTCTCCAAATAGTTTTTTTAACAGGGGTTTCAACTTTACAAACTGCTTGATTGAAGCAGTTATGTCAAGGTTTTCAATCAACAATTGAACAGACAGGCAGACAACCTCAGAAAAAGTCAACACATACGTAAATTTGTGTTTAATTATAGAACTATCACAACTGCTTTCGCTTAAAGTTTTCTTAAAATTCTGTTTTAAATTATCTTTAGTAATTGGATGTTATCTGTAAAAAATACCTGCCACCCCATTAGTAATAGGCTTACTACCAAAATATTTAACAATATTTTAAAAAGCTTCAATAATTAGGGAATTAAGAAAAAAGATTTTTTTGGCCAAATAGTAAGCTGCATTAAAAGTGTTCAAAAACAGTTGTTAGAACTTTAAATTGGGAAATAAAGTTAATTTGGAAATTGCATAAAGAATTAAATAATTTATTAACTAAAGTAATGTTAATTTTTAAGTAAAGTAATATTCACCACAATACTTTTACAGTAATATAAATTGTAATCAGTTGTCACAAATTCCTTCAATAACATAATTTTGATGGTCTTTGTTATATTATTTTGTAAAAGGTTCGAATTATGTTTGAAGTTCAAGACTTAAAGTATGCAACTTTAGCAACAGTTAGTCGTTGTGGTATGGTATGGTTCTCACATGAGGTAGTTTCTTCTGAAATGATTGTTGAAAACTATTTGTCTAAAATTAAGAATGTTCTTGTTGAGGAGTCAGAAGATGATTATAAAAATAAAATGGTTGGCAATGAAGTTTCTCTTTCACCTACTCTACAGGTAAGATTAGCCTAAATTATAATTTATTTTTTTTTAGTAAATTTTAATGTTTACGTGGCTTTGTAGTAAAAATTAGGTTCTAAATGGCAATTTTTAATCATCCATGTTCACTACAATGCATTGCTAGTTGCAATTTTGCAATGTTTTTCTTAATTCTAAGACAAAGTTTCTTTAATAATGTCCTAATATTCTAGGTTCAAAGAAACTTTGCTGATTGTTTAACACCTTACCTTGTATCAAATGGGTTAGTACTGAAAACAATAGAGTTTGCCTCAACCAAAGATCATATAATGGATTTTACAAAAATGAGAGCCTTAAGCTCTCTTTTTTCTATTTTAAATCAAGGTTTAAGAAATATTCTTAACTATAACCATCAGCACCCTGATTTTCCTATGTCTTCAGAACAGTTTGAAAGTTATGTACCAAAGTATTTAGTGTATGCCCTTGTTTGGTGTATGGCTGGTGATAGTAAGTTATCCATTCGTCAAGAGCTTAGTGATTATATTCACAAGTTAACAACTATCCCATTGCCCTCTTCTCAATCAGTAATAATTGATTATGAAGTTACAATGAATGGTGATTGGGTTCCATGGTCAAACAAAGTACCTCATATAGAAATTGAAACGCACAAAGTTGCATCACCTGATGTTGTTGTACCAACATTAGATACTGTAAGACATGAATCATTATTATACACTTGGTTAGCTGAGCATAAACCTCTTCTTTTATGTGGTCCTCCAGGATCAGGAAAAACGATGACTTTGTTTGCAGCTTTAAGAGCACTTCCTGATATGGAGGTAAATTATTCATAAATCATACTCAATAATATGTAAATTATATAAGTTTTTTGGTATAATTAAACAATTACCACGATTCTATTTAATTGTAATATTTCTAGGTTGTTGGTTTGAATTTTTCAAGTGCTACAACTCCTGAGCTAATACTAAAAACATTTGATCATTACTGTGAGTATAGAAGAACTCCTAATGGTATTGTTTTGTCTCCTGTTCAAATTGGGAAGTGGTTAATTTTATTCTGTGATGAAATTAATTTGCCAGATATGGATCAGTATGGCACACAAAGAGTAATATCTTTTTTACGCCAATTAGTTGAACAAAATGGTTTTTATAGAACGTCTGATCATCAGTGGGTCTCTTTAGAAAAAATTCAGTTTGTTGGAGCTTGTAATCCTCCTACAGACCCAGGAAGAAAGCCATTGTCGCACAGGCAAGTATTCTAAATTTCATGATAAGTTAAATAATAAAAAATTTCTATTACAACAGCGAACATTTCTTATGGTTCAAACTCCTTTTTAAATGTGAATATTAAAGCCCTTTTTGACCTTATTTAAATTTAAAGTAATAACTCTTCAAATTTTGCTTTATATTTATTTTTTTTAGTTTTAGTTTAGTTTTTTAATAAATAGTAAATAGTATTTGTCAATTAACCAGGCTTTCACAGAAAGACGTGTGATTTCATGTCTTTATATGACCACGCAAGTTATATTTTGCTATGACCGTTTGCCTGTGGCTAATTCAAAAAACATTTTAGAAATGCGCTAAAATATTCTAAAATAAAAAATATTCTAAATAAGTAAAATTAATTACATCAAAACTTCTTAACAAATGTTTTTATATTAGTGAACCCATTTTAAGTAAAATAACAATTTACTGAAAAAAGTTTTGTTTTTTAAATATAATTGACAGTTGTATATATTTTTTTAATTTAAAACATAAATAATAATTTTTTTTTTTTAAATAAATCTTATTTAAAAAAAAAAAAAATTGTTTTTATAAATGATGACATTCTACGACTACGAAAGTCTCTAATGAATTTAAATATAAGAATGATTAAAGTTAATGCATTTAAAAAGATAAACAAAATTTCGTTCAAAAGAAAGTTTTAGAAAACCGTTGCAATTTAATAAGTTTGATCTTAAATGCTTTTATATTATCGAAACGCTTTTAATGAAGTAAAAAAAAAACATTTAATTTAAACAAAAGTATTTATAAAATGTTTTTTTAATTTTATTTATATAATTATGTAATTTTTATGAGAAATATTTAACTTTTGAATATATTAAACAAATAAAAAATATATAAAAATGTTGAAACGAAAATTAAAAAGGTTTTTTAATGCGTAAATTAAATAGACTAAGCATTTAAGTTTAATGAGTTTTTTTTTAGTTGCGTTATATACATATTTTTTTGTGTTTTTACTTACTAAGTATTTTTTTTATTTTCTCTTTCGTTAATATTTATTATTTTTTAAAATTTTTGTTTCAGATAAGTTTAGGTAAGTTTTTTTAGCGCGTTTTTAAATTTTAAAAATATGCCGTGGTCAAATCGTTTAAACATTTTTTTTTTTTTTTTTTTTGCGTGGTCATATAAAGTCATAAAATAGCACGTCTTCCTGTGGAAGCCTGCAATTAACCTATTATTTATTTATGAAGGATCTTGGCAGAATAACATTCTATTGTGTTACCCTAATTATCAGTTCACCCTATAATTTATTTTTTCAATTAATAAAAAAAATTGATCAGTTTAACTATAAGTATTAATAAATAGAAATTGTTTATAAAAAATATGAATAAAAATTTTTTTGTAACTTATTTATTTCATTAAATTTAGAAGTTACTTTTATCTTGTTTAGATTCTTAAGGCATGTTCCTGTTGTATATGTTGATTACCCTGGTCCTTCATCACTTGCTCAAATTTATGGCACATTTAATAGAGCTATGTTAAAATTAGTGCCATCATTAAGGGGTTTTGCAAATCCTCTTACTGATGCTATGGTAGAGCTGTATACCTTGTCTCAATCAAAGTTTACTCAGGAAATGCAACCTCACTACATTTACTCACCTCGTGAAATGACTCGTTGGGTAAGAGGAATTTTAGAAGCAATAAAACCATTAGATGATTTGTCTGTTGAAGGTTTAGTAAGATTGTGGGCACATGAAGCTCTGCGACTTTTCCATGACAGGTTTTATTTTTTATTTTAATGTTTTTAATTTTGGTCTTAACTCCACGAGTTTCTGATTGAATAGTCTTATCTATAGTTTAAGAAAGTTTTAAATTTTTAAATTCTTAGATTAATTTCTGATGAAGAGAGGCGATGGACAAATACAAACATTAATCTTATTGCAAAAAAACATTTTCCAAATATTGATTGTGAATTAGCTTTAAAACGCCCAATTCTTTACAGTAATTGGCTAACAAAAGATTATGTCCCTGTAGACCAAGAGCAATTAAGAGATTTCACAAAAGCTAGACTGAAAGTGTTCTATGAAGAAGAATTAGATGTGCCTCTTGTATTATTTGATGAAGTACTTGACCATGTTTTGAGAATCGATAGAATTTTCCGTCAACCTCAGGGGCATTTATTGTTAATTGGCGTATCAGGAGCTGGGAAGACAACCTTATCAAGATTTGTAGCTTGGATGAATGGTTTGTCTGTTGTTCAAGTCAAGGTTGATTTTTCTTTTCTTTTATGAGTACAATTTCAACTGGTGTTTAAGTTAAAGTTGAATAAATATGATTTTAATACAAATTTTTAAGCTTCAGTTTTTAATTTAATTTTTTAAATCTGAATTTGTATGCTGTTATTTTATGGAATATTAATTTAGGTACATAGAAAATACACTGCAGAAGACTTTGATGAAGATTTAAGAATTGTTCTTCGAAGGTCAGGTTGTCGTAATGAGAAAATAGCATTTATTATGGATGAATCAAATATTTTAGATTCATCATTTTTAGAGAGAATGAATACATTGCTTGCTAATGGTGAAGTTCCAGGTCTTTTTGAAGGTAACTTACAAAAAATATTTAGTTTTCAATTAAAAATTAGGAACTTGTTTTTAAATTTATATATGTATTATTTTATAATAGGGGATGAGTATTCTACTCTAATCACTCAATGTAAAGAAGGATCTCAAAGAGCTGGTCTAATGTTAGATTCTGCTGAAGAACTTTATAAATGGTTTACACAGCAAGTAATGATTAATTTGCATGTTGTTTTAACTATGAATCCATCTTCTGAAGGATTAAAAAGTAGAGCATCTACTTCACCAGCTTTGTTTAATCGTTGTGTTCTTAATTGGTTCGGTGATTGGTCAACAGGAGCATTATATCAAGTTGGACAGTCCTTTACAAGTAAAGTAGATTTAGAGAGAAGTGGGGTGAGAGAATTTTTAGTTGTTTATTTGTAAATCATTCATACAGAATTATTTAATTGCTTATGTTTTTGTTATCTTTTTTAATCAGTATAAGCCACCTGATTATTTACCTCTGGTTTACAAAGACTTACAAATGCCACCAAGTCATCGTGATGTTATAGTAAATGCTATGGTTTTTGTTCATCAAACTCTACATGCAACAAATGAAAGTGTTTCAGCTCGAGGTGGTCACACAGTTTCTGTCACACCAAGAAGTTTTTTGGATTTTATTCATCAATATGTATGTGTTTTAGATTTCATTTGTATTTTAAAAAAGAGAACAAAAATGTAATTCAAAAAAAGTATAATTTTTCCTAATTCTTTTTCAACAGATTAAGCTATTTAATGAAAAGAGATCTGATTTGGAAGAACAGCAACTACATTTAAATGTTGGTCTTCAGAAGATTCGAGATACTGTATCTCAAGTGGAAGAATTACAAAAAAGTTTGTCAATGAAAAGTCAAGAATTAGAAGCTAAAAATGCTCTTGCTAATCAAAAGTTAAAGCAAATGGTCAAAGACCAACAAGAAGCAGAAAAGAAAAGAGTTACTTCTACAGAGTTGCAATCAGATTTAATGCTGCAAACAGAACAAATTAATATTAAAAAGGAACTTATAATGACAGAATTAGCAGAGGTAAAAAATATGTTAAAACGTGTTATTTTTTTCAGATATTGAAGCGCACCTAAAAAAAAAAATGTTGTTTACATTTATTTAAATCAATTTTTCTTAAATTTTAGGTGGAACCAGCTTTACAAGATGCTAAGACAGCTGTAAAATCTATTAAAAAAGATAATCTTGACGAAGTTCGCAGATTAGGAAATCCACCTCCAGCAATTAAGCTAGCTTTAGAATCTATTTGTATTTTACTAGGAACCCCTTCTACTGATTGGAAAGATATAAGAGTTATATGCAGTAAAGCCACATTTATTCCAAGTATTGTGAACTTTTCTACTGATAGTCTAACGTAAGCAATTCTTACAATTACTAATTCATATATATATATATATATATATATATATATATATATATATATATATATATATATATATATATATATATATATATATATATATATATATGTATATGTATATATATAACTTCAAATATTTTTTTTTTGAGCTGGTGATAGATATCTACTATATTTTTTATTTATTCATTTGCTTATGTTGTATGCAGCAAATTGACACTTTAACATACTTGATGAAACATCTCTTATGAATTATTTAACAAGCTCACATTTTCTTAACAACACTGTCACAATTTGATTCTATTTTTTTATATTGAATACTTAAATAACTGCCTCACTAAACTTTCTTATTTTTACTTTTTTACATTAACATATTGGGTTTTTCACCAAAATTCTTGCCATTTTTGTTACTGATGCCATTATTCAAATCAAGAGTCTGCTGCTTTTAATTAAACTGTTTTTTATTTTTATTTTAACTGTTTTTTTTTTTGTTTTTTTTTGCATAAATCTATCTTAACTTTAAGATTGTTTCAACAATTTCTAATAAAGCTTTTTAATTACTTTAGTTTGTTATTGTTAAATTTTTTAAAATCTCAATTAAAAAAAAACAAATACCGCAACTGTAGTGTAGTGATAAATAAAATTTTGGTTTGTAAAAAAAATTTTGTAAGTATTAGTATTAAATTTTTTATATGATGATATTGAGTAAAGAAAGCAGATAGTTATATTTTATTATTATATTTTAGTCTTGAATCAAGAAAGCAGATGGCTAAGTATATTTCTAATCCAGATTACACTTTTGAAAAAGTTAATAAAGCAAGTGTTGCATGTGGCCCTTTGGTCAAATGGGCAATTGCCCAAGTTAACTATGCAACAATGCTTCAGAAGGTTGAGCCTTTAAGAAATGAATTGTTCAAAAGTGAAGAAGAACTTTTGAAAAATAAATCCAAAGTAGTTTCATTTTTTGAAAATTAATTGTTGTTATCTGAGTTTCTTGTTTATTTTGTTATTAATATGTGGTTTAGTATTTGTATTTTTGTTATTTTTATGAGTATTTACACTAACATTTTTTACTATCTTATATTTTTGCAAAATTAATTTTTTATCTTTGTTTTTATATATATTAGCTTGACTCAGTGGCAGAAATGATAAGTGAGTTAGAGCGCAGTATAGCTCAATATAAAGAAGAATATGCTCTGCTGATAAGTGAGGCTCAGACTATTAAAGCTGATTTAGTTTCTGTTGAGGCTAAAGTGTCACGAAGTACTGCTTTATTACGAAGTTTAAGTACAGAAAGGAAAAGATGGGAATCAACTAGTAGTGGATTTCAAACCCAAATGGACACTGTTGCTGGTGATGTTTTGCTCTGTTCAGCTTTTTTGGCTTATGGAGGATACTTTGATCAGCAAGTGCGATCTAGATTATGGTCAGCATGGACTTCACATCTTGAGCAAGCCTCAATTCAATTTAGAGATGATTTGGCTAGAACTGAAGTAAATTTTTTTTTTTTTTTTTTTTTTTTTTTTTTTTTTTTATATGGTCTTTTTAAATTATCTTTAGAGAAAGTTATGATAAAAACCAATTTTAAGGATGCTAACCTGATATGCTAAAGAAAAATTAATTTCTTTAATGCAACTTCTGTATCCAATATTAATTGAGTTCTTTAAATATATGGCATTTAATTGTGCTATTTTAATGAATGCAACATTTTTAAATCTAAAATTAAATATATTACATTACAAAATATTTAATTAGGTTTTTCTTATACTTAGTTTTTTATGTATTTGTTATTATGTCACATATTCATATATTTAGTATTTGTCAACAGCTGATGATAGATTATTTTGGCAATCTAAATCTTTACCTGCAGATGATTTGTGCACAGAAAATGCAGTTATGCTAAAGCGACACAATAGATACCCTTTAATAATTGATCCATCTGGGCAAGCCACTGAATTTATATTACAAGTTTTTGCTGATAAAAAAATTACGAAAACTAGGTAATTACAAATATGTGTACAGAAACAAGATATGTACCATAATTATATAACAGCTTTAATTAATGGGTTGAATTAGGAGTTGTTTTATTCATTTTTATTCATTTTTATTTAGTTTCCTAGATGATGCATTCAGAAAGAACTTAGAAAGTGCTTTACGTTTTGGAAATCCTCTTTTGGTTCAAGATGTTGAAAGCTATGATCCAATATTAAATCCTGTACTTAATAAAGAACTTAGACGAACTGGTGGGAGGGTTTTGATCACTCTTGGGGATCAAGACATTGATTTATCTCCAGCATTTACTATATTTTTGTCGACCAGAGATCCCACTGTAAAAAATAATTTTTTTAAGTTTTAAAATTTTTTTTAGTGACAATTTTTGTTTACGAATTCTTTATTTAGATCGATTTTCCACCTGATTTGTGTTCACGTGTTACATTTGTGAATTTCACTGTCACAAGAAGCAGCTTGCAAAGCCAGTGCTTAAATGAAGTACTTAAAGCTGAGCGACCTGAGGTTGATGCAAAACGTTCAGATCTTTTAAAGCTTCAAGGAGAATTCAATCTCAGATTACGTCATTTAGAAAAGGCTTTACTACAAGCTCTTAATGATTCAAAAGGAAGCATTTTAGATGATGATAAGTATGTAACATCAGTTATTTAAGAATAATAACATTTTTTTATAGTATGCATAAGTTAAAAATTCTGTGCGAATAATTGCACCATATTAATCATGTTAAAAGAGTACTTGTTATAACTAGGGTTGCACTGATGCCTACTTTTGATCCGTGCCAATTGATTCAGGTCAATGCCATCAGCATCAGCCCTAAATTCAAATTTTAATACTTGCATATTTGCTAAAAATTGCTTAATGCATAGTTGCTCTACTCATTGTTAAAAAATTTTAACTATATTCTAAAAATTTAACTTAAAAACAAAATTAAATACAGAATTTTTAAAAGATTTTGAGTTATTAAATTTTGTTAGAATTCCAAGATTTGTGTTTGAGAGAGTTAATGAGAGTAGCAAGCGTGTTTGATATATGAAAAATATCAACAATGAGCAAAGCAACTAAATGTTTTATAGACTATTTTGATATAGATGAAAATAAATGATCCAAGTAAGTTTTGAATTTTGCAAAATAAAAGTATCAAGAATATGAACATCTGGCAAAAAAAATATTTTTTTTTACATTACTTTTACATACACTTCTTGATTTAAACTTTGTATAGTTTGGATCCATAAGTCATGAAATTTTTTTCCTAAATAATAAAAAGACATAAAATGCAGGGAGCTTCTGAAAACAAAACAGTTCAAAAAATATTTAAGGTTTAATTATTGCAGTTATTTCTATGTAATAACTTATAATCATACATGGATTTCGGTTTCTGGAGTAATTACATTTTTTGTTACATTTTATAGTATATTGTATGCAATATACTATATTATTATAGTATATTGTATGCAAATGTAATATACTAAATAGTCATATAAAGGGGTGCACTGATTCATTGATGCAACTCAGGTTATAACTACTGAATGTATTTCTAAAATGTATTTAAATCATATTTTAGTGTGATGTGATAAAAATTCTTTAGTAGTAGCATAATTTTAGTTTGATATTCATGGCCTTAACTATTGTAGTTATCAGGCTTGAAAATTGTTGAAATAATTATAATAAAATTTATTATTAAATTTTATAAATAAAAATTCAGTAATATTCCAAAAATATTTTAACCTGTTACCTTATATTTGAAATTTTTTTCTACCTATTTAAATATAGCTTTACGCCATTATATTTTTAATATTAACTTTTAGAGTGTTTTAAATTTTTAATATCAGTTTTTTTTTGGTACTTATACCCTTGTAATTAATTTTAAATTTTTTGGGCACATTTTGTGTGTATTAATATAGTAACAAAAACCATAAATTATTCAAATTTTCAGAAGCATGTATTATAATAGTCTGTGCAATAAGTTGTACCGTATTAATCATGCTAAAAAAATACTTGTTATAACTGCTAAGTGTATTTTATTAATATACATCTTAGTTTTAGGACACAGTTACATTTAAATTAGTAGAGTTGATATATCTGCAAGATAATGTTTTTTGTTTATATTTTACACATTAATTTTTTAGGGTGATAACAACACTGGAAACTCTTAAAACAGAAGCTGCTGAAATAACAGAGAAAGTTGCAAAAACTGATAAAGTTATGATAGAAGTTGAAGCTGTTACAGATCAATATAGAAACTTAGCATCTGCATGTAGTAGCATTTTCTTTACACTAGAAGGTCTTCACGTGGTACATTTCATGTATCAATATTCTCTCAAATTTTTTCTTGAAATATTTCAGTCAGTTCTTTATAACAACCCCAAGTTAAAGGATAAGAAGGATCCAACAACTCGTCTTCATTTACTAATAGAATGTTTGTTTCAAAGTGTTTATGATCGTGTTTCAATGGGGTTGTTGCATGATGATAGGATTGCATTTGGTATGCTTATTGCCAGGATTCGTTTAAAAGGTCAAAGGTAAGTTATTTTTTCTTGTCTACACTGTGTGTGTGTATATACATACATACACAAATACATTATGCATATAATATATACACACACTATTTTTTTTAAGCCAACCTAATTATGATGTTGAGTTTGACCATTTCCTTCGAGGAAAAGAAATTGTTGTTCAATCTGAAAGTTTAGATCTACATGGATTTTCATTAGATCAAAAAACAGCATTGTTAAGACTAAGCAAATTTAAGCCATTTAAAGATATTTTAAAGTATCTTTCAGAAAATGAGAAGGTGATTTGTATTTTTTTTTCTTTATGTTGATGATTTGCATGTTACTTAAACTAATAGTGTTGTGTTAAATTTTATATCACATTGTATCATAAGTACATTAAATGGAAAATATTTTTTCAGTGATAATAACTTTTTTTGTCCTAGGAATTCAATGATTTTGTCTGCTCACAAAATCCATATGATAAAGTACCAAAGTGTTGGGTTGAATCAGAACCGCTAAGTAAGTTTTTCACAGCCAGTAAAATGTGGTGGAGAAAATTTTAATTTTTAATGTTTTTGAAATAATTTTGTAAGAATATAAATAAATAAGAGTTATCAATGTGGGAGGTTTCTATTTAATCTATTTGATATAAAGAAAACAAGTTTAAATGGACATAAATATTTGCTTCTCAAGGCAAACTTCCTGAAAATTTTTGTTATTTTTCTATGGAATATTATGTCACTATGTATATATATATACTAGTATTAGTTGCTTTAACAAATTCTAGTATTTTACCATGGATTGAGGATATTAAGTTATGAAACCAGCAAGCTTGGACAGGAATGGCGTGTGATAAAGAAAATTAAAAGGAATATAATTATAATTAAAAAAAAAGGGAAAAAAAATATTACGAGAAAGGAAATACATAAGTGCTAAAATAAAACTCAAAAAATTCTAACATAAGGCAAAAGTTACTTTTTGTTACGTTTTTAATTGAATTTATCTTTCAAAACGTTTTATTAAAGTTATGCGAAATGTGTTTACCAATTACTTCTAATGATTGTTTAATGAATGAACTAATTTTATTTAAATTACTAAAAAGTGTTGTATTATTAAATTGTACTAATGTTTCTTTTTTCCGAAAAGTTGCACCAAAAAAAAATGTTTAAAAAAATACTGTAGTCTATATTTATTTTTTTTAAATCATTTCATGTACTGATCAATTAATCAAGTTTTAAAAAAATAATTTAAACAATTCTTTGTAAAAATAGAAACAAAAAAGTATATGGTAATTAAATCATTCCATTGCAACAAAATCTTATTTATGATTTAAAGTATATTAATAAACATTTGTTAATTTAAACACAAAAAAGTTTATTTAAAATCACTATAACTAATCTTTTAATTTTATTTAAAGTCTTTGCATAAAATAAAAACTTTAGAATAGATCAATACTTATAAGTTATAAAGTTACAGTTGTTTTATAGCATTTAAATTGTAAACCGCTGTCTTCAAATTGTAAAGAAAAATTATATGTGTGGTCAGTTACAGCGTTCGATCACACCATTTCTGTTTAAGCCTGAAACAACAAGGTTTTTGTATAATAGACCTAAACCATGAGTTAAAAATAACTTTAAAAAAATCAAATATTTTGGCAAAATATAATCATATTGTCTACACAAATATGAGCACACACATATGTATAAATATCATACTTTATAATTAACAATATTTGAGGTTTGACTTGGTATAATCTACACTTAAACCTCATATTATGTTACCTATGCTATGCAGATTAAAGTTGACATAAAACATTACTAATTATGTCATTTGCATATATTGACATCTATCCATTAGTGAGTGTTAAAGTAAATACATTACTGAGAACATGCATTGTTAGATAAAGCACATGCAAAACCTAAATGTGTGTTTGTAAATAAACTTTTCTTCATGCTAGAATATATCTAGTAAAAGTTTTTTTCTATCCTTTAGCCCAACAACATCTTGTGGTGGCCTTTCTAAATCTTTATGCCTGGTTACTTTAACAAATTGACTATTATGACATTATTTGCAGACATTGTGTACAATATAAGTTATTGTAAAAAATTTTATATGAATTAAAAATGTTTGATCAGAATATTAGGCAAAAATATAGATTAAAGTAATAAGCAATAAGAAAGACACTTTATGGATTTTAGAAAAAAGATTTAAAAACTAAAAATTAAGCAAATTATTAAATAAATCTGATGCAAATGTGTAAACTTGTATTCTTTTAGCTCCATCCGGTGAAGTCATGTATAAAATGTTGGTGTTGCAAGCATTGAGACCGGATAATCTACATGTTGCGATGAGAGGTTTTGTTTTATCTGTATTAGGAAATAATTTCTTGCATACATCAGAACAAGAAATAGATTTAATTCATATTGTCGAAAATGAGGTCAGTTGAATTATTTTAATTTATTATTTTTGAAATTTATTTGTATTTAACTAGTTGTAAATTGGGTCATATTTTTAATTTATCTAGTCTAAGTTGTATTCTACACTACATAGTGATGCAATGTTAATGAAGTTCAATTTAGGTTCAGTTGCTGTAAAAATTACATTGGGCATATAGAACAGTATACAATTCATTGTATGCTGTTAGTTGAGCTAATTTTTTACAGTCCATTAAAATTATTTATTTAGAGATATATGGATTAGATGGATTATAAATAAGCTTTCGTTTACAAGAATTTTTCAAAATGTTTTACAAAGGAGCATTGTTATTCCATATATTTTATTTAGTATTTTGCATTTTTAGTTGTCTGTGCATCATCACTATATTAAATTTGTGTACTTTGTTTTTGTCAACAATGTAGTTTATTAAATTTATTTAGATCAAAGCTTCTACACCAATGATTTTATGTTCAGCACCAGGGTATGATGTCAGTAGTAGAGTAGATGATTTAGTTGCATTAACTAATAAGCAAATAACTTCAATTGCAATTGGCTCTGCTGAAGGTTTTAGCGATGCTGAGAAAGCTATAAATGCTTCTATTAAATCAGGAAAATGGGTTTTGTTAAAAAATGTTCATCTTGCCACTCAATGGTTGGTTTCTCTTGAAAAGCGTTTGCATTCACTTCAACCACATCCCAATTTCCGCTTGTTTATGACTATGGAGATCAATCCTAAAGTTCCTGTTAATCTGCTTAGAGCTTCCAGGATATTTGTTTTTGAACCACCTCCTGGTATTAAAGCAAACCTGCTTCGCACATTTTCTACTATTTCTTCTTCTAGAATGTCAGAATCGCCTGCTGAACGTCCTCGACTTTATTTTCTTCTTGCATGGTTTCATGCTATTGTACAGGAGCGTTTGCGTTACACACCCTTAGGCTGGTCAAAGTTATATGAATTTAATGAGTCTGATTTAAGAGTTGCTTTTGATATGCTAGATACTTGGATAGCATCTGTGTCTCAAAATCGTGCTAATATTGCTCCTGAAAAACTTCCTTGGGATGCATTTAGCACTTTGCTGGGTCAGTCAATCTATGGTGGTCGTATTGATAATGATTTTGATCAACGTTTAATTCAGTCTTTTATTGAACGTGTTTTTACCTTAAAGAGTTTTGACTCAGAATTTCCTTTAGTATCAACTTCGTCAAAAGATATTGTTATACCAGATGTTTTTAGAAGGGAGCAATTCATACAGTGGTGTGAAAGTTTACCAGATTACCAACCACCGTCATGGTTGGGTTTACCCAACAATGCTGAAAAAGTTATTCTGACAAATTTATCAGAAGCAACTACCTCAAAGATATTAAAAATGCGGCTAACAGCAGAAGATGATGAACTTGCTTATGTTCCTGATGAACAAAAAATGGATAAGGGGTTAGGTATTGATGTAAGACCTCAATGGATGAAAGATTTACATCAGTCTGTTAAAGGATGGTTGCATATTTTGCCTGATAAGATTCTTGCCATTAAGCGTACTGTTGAAAACATCAAAGATCCCCTTTATAGATTTTTTGAAAGAGAAATAAATGTAGGTGTCAAATTACTTACTACTGTGCGCAATGATCTTGGGCAAGTTATTGATGTTTGTGAAGGTAATAGCAAACAAACCAATGATCTTAGAAACTTAATCGATACTATAGTAAAAGGAATTATACCAAAATCTTGGAACAGGTAAGTTCTTTTAATTTTAACAGAATAACATTTAATTACTTCAAAGCTAAGAGTTTTGAATATAATTTTTATAACTTAAATAGTTATATGCGATATTGTGCAAATAGTTGCACAATTCTCACAAATAACAATCAACATAAAATAAAAGTTAAAAGAACAGTTATAGAAAATTGTAAAAAAATTGGCCAAAAAAACATTGCCAGCTTAATTCACTAATTTATTGAATTATGAATAGTTGTAGTTAATCAAGTTCAAAATTATGCTTTTTAAATCTGGGTTTAAAATTCATTATGTAAATAATGAATTTTAAAGAGATTTTGTAGAAATACTTTAATAGCGAAGAATTCGATCAGTTTGGCAATTCAAACCTAATAAACGAAAATTTTTAAGATAGCTTCCTAGATTTCGCAAGACTAATAATTTTTATAACACTACTCGGTGTAGTTAAGGCACTTTTAAAATAATAGAGCGTCTGTATGATATTTTGTTGACTGCGACATTTTTCCGTTAAATGGTCTGGTCTGCGAATTATGAAAAGACGAAAAAACTTTAAATGATAAATTTTGCAGTATCATAAAATATAAATGTTTGTAGCAAAAAAATCCAGACTGATGATTTTTTTTTTTTTTTTAAATCATATTAAAATCACTATCGCTCGTCCAAATTTTAATAAGATTGTATATTAACAAGTTTTTTAGGTGAAATGAACATTATAGTTTAACAATATGATCTGTTCTGATCGTTTACTGACAATTTTCCATAACTATAAGCTCTTTCTTGGTTGGAATTCCAGTATTTTTTGTGAAAATTGATAGAAATATTGTGTTTTGACAACTATATATAGTTAATATACATCAGAACCGATTAGAACTAGGACCAGTAGTAAATTAAAAAACTTTTTCAAAAAATTTTAACTAAATTCATATTAATGCCAATGAGCGCAATTGATCTAAAGACTCCAAATTAGTGTTCTTTAGATACACTATTACAGGTAGTAAAAAGGTTATGAAAATTATATAAAAAAAAGGAAAGTTTCTTTAAATATTATAAAAACTTTTAACAAAAAAAAATTAAAGGATTTAAAGATCTTGTTTAAACATAATATGTTGACAAAATCATGCTAATTCAAAATAAATGTATTCGAATATTTTGTAAATCGCCTTAACTCTACACCGAGTAATAATAATTTTTATCTAGTAGGCTTTCCTATTCCAACGTTGAATTTTTAATTCCTGTATACAAACGTAGTTGTTTAAACTGTTTTACTCAGCTATGGGTGTAATGGATGTACAATAAACATGTACAATTGTTTTGTTCTTTTTTAAGTAGTTTTTTTTTTTTTTTTTTTTTTTTTTTTTTTGCTTTGAGCGCAAAGTAACACAAGAAGCCACTTTTAAGCAAATATAAAATAAAAATATGCCAGAAATGTTGACGTTTACCTTGTGCTGAAGCGGCAAAAAACCTCGAAAAGTTATTTGGCTTAGAGCGCAAAGTAATTCTCAATATTATGTAAAAAAAAATTTCTAGCGTGATCATAATAGTCCTAATTTTTATTTAGATTTTTGTGTATCCTGGTTTTTTCATAAGTGTTTAAAATCAAGTAGTTTAAAATAAATAAAAAGATTTATGAAAAGACTAGGATGCACAATACTCTTAATAAAACTTTCAAAATATTGAGATTTACCTTGCGCTCCAAATCAAATAATTTTGGAACAATTTGGGAGCATTTTTCGTGGTATAACGTCAATATTTTTAGAATTTTTTTTTATATTTTTCCTAAATTTGGCTTCTTGCGTATTCTCGTTTTATAAAAATTTTTTTTTTTTTGAACACCGCTAATTAACATGCATGCAATTTATATTTTGGTTAGATTTACGTTTCCTGAAGGATTAACAGTTATACAGTGGGTTGTAGACTTATCGGAGCGAATGAAGCAGTTGCAAAGTATTTCTCGTGTTGCGAATGCTAGTGGAGCTAAAGAGTTGCGAAACATTAAAGTCTGGTTAGGCGGTCTTTTTATTCCTGAAGCCTACATTACAGCAACACGTCAGTATATCGCTCAAGCAAATCAATGGTCGTTGGAAGAGCTTTATTTAAAGGTTTCTATTGTTGATGATTTCGCTGCGATTCAGAGTGTTTCAGACAGTGGATTTGTCATTACTGGTAAGTTTATTTGTTTCTATCTAAAATTTCGTCTAATTTTTTGTATTATATTATGTACTTTTCGTTTTAGGACTAAAACTTCAAGGTGCAACTTGTTTGGGCAATAAATTACAAATTGCTGACACAATGATGACAGACTTACCAGAAACTAGCTTGCACTGGATAAAAATGGATTCTATGACTTTAGGCAAAACCAAAGTTGACGGTATTACATTGCCGGTTTATTTAAACCAAACCAGGAAAGATTTACTTTTTACAGTAGATATGGAGTCAAATGGAGATGTCCCTAAACGTGTTTTTTATGAACGAGGAGTTGCTTTTATTTCATCAAATTTGTCTGGCTAAAAACACGTTTAAAATTTTTTTAAAAATTAACAAATTAAAAATGAATTTTTTTTATTTAATTTGTAATTTGCTTGTAAACCTCCAGAGTTTTAATTAAATAACCAGTAATAATAAAATACCTTATATATTCATACTGCGCGTACAGGTCAAGGTACACTCATTTTTTAGCGAAGTAGTTTATATAAATTTTACTCATCGTAAATGAGTTTTTCTGGAAATTCCCGGAATTCCGGAAATTCACTTAAAACACCTTTAATTTTTCCAGAAATTTCCGGATGTTTTTTGATATTAATTTGTAAAAAAAATTATATACTTTTACATGAAATTTTTCGTACGACAACTTTTGCATTTAAACAAATATGTTTTCTATTATTTAAATTTTTTACAAGATCAATTTTCGTAACAATTTTTTTTTTCCTTTTTTTTTTTTTTTGCCTTTTAATTCATTCAAACTTTTTCGAATATTAGAAATTCCTTTTTGTAAAAATTTAAATAATCTAAATTCGGCTTGTCTGTTAAATGCGATCAAATTTTAATAAAATAATTTTCCGGGATTTTCATAAAGTCAAATACTCATCTATGTCATATACATTGTATATTCTAGGTATATATAGGTAGACATACATTGTAACATTCTAGGTTAAAAAATGTGTCTAGTAAATACACGCACGTAACAATCAAGTTGCCTTATTGAATTAAACAGACAATTATACAGTATAAATTACCGTTAATTTATACTGAATGAACAAAAATTAAAATTTATTCAATATTTTATTCTAAATGAGAACAATTAGTATGATCGAACTTTCATTACCATAAACATTCAATCTACGCAATGCAATATTTTTCGCAAGATCTCAAATGTAAAATTACAAAAATTAATTTTCTTGTTATTTTATGTTTAATAAAATAATAATTCAAAAAGTCTCATACTTCTGAAAACAAGTAACTGGGTCCTGAAAGAAATTTTAGGTAAATTAAATCAGGCTAGTCTTTATGATGCCTATAAAATTATCTTTGATATTAAATGCGGGAGATAAGTGATCGCGACGAAAGAGCACAATGGCGACCAAGAAAGATGTGCGTCTTCTGGAAATCATTACTCTTTCCGCGCATTCCTCGATCTTTTTTTTTTTTTAAATACTTTTTTTACATAAAGGTTTATGTAAAAAAAGGTTTATGTTTATGTAAAAGGTTTATGTATAGGTATTCGATTTTTAAATTTGCGTGTGTTTACTCCCCAGTTAAAATCAATATAAAATACGCGAATTTTAAATGTTTAACTTCAATTAATTGTTAATTTTCAATTATTTCATATATATATATATAGAGAGAGAGAGAGAGAGAGTATCCTCCCCCTTCCCCATAAATTAAGCACATCCTATTATTACCTCGTCGGTTCTCTATGTCAAATCTTCACGCAATTTTTTTTTTTTTTTTTTTTTTTTGTTCTTTATTACATTTTAAACAACAATCCGTTATAAATATACAAATTAAAAAATAAAATATAGAAGTTACAAGAAAATAACAAAAAAGAAAAATCGTAAATTAGAAATAAAAGAACGCGGGGACTCGTAGAAGACCGTAAGGTCTTGTCGTCGAGAACCGCTAAAATGAACGTGATACAAACAAATTGAAAATATTCAGAAAACCCGTTATAAATATAAAAATCAGTTATATAAATACTATATAAGTTAATAAACATATAAATTGTCGTATATATTGATACATATTCTTGGTAAATATATAAATTATAAAATAATAATAGTTCTTTGATAAGTGGAGGTAAAATGGGAAAACTATTAAAAATTAAGCAAAAAGCAACCCGTAATACGGGTTTTGGTCGGTCTGTTACATAATTAATTTAGTCGCTGTTTTCCACAATTTAATGTTGCAAAACCTTAACTAATACCCTTTAAGAAAATCGCCTTCAAAAAGCTTGAAAAAATTAATCCATCTGTAAAATTAACATAAAAAGTATGAGGAGGTAAAATAATTAGCAAACTACTACTTAACATTTACTATTACTACTTAACATTATTTAAGTAATTAACAAATGGCATAGTTCATAACAGTGTAAAGCAGAACCATTTTCATCGACCTTCCTAAGTTTAACAAAATACGTTTTTAGTTACTGACACAAAATAATAACACTTCGTCATGCTTTAAATTGACGAAAGTACCAACGAAATCCTTGTAAAAATTTTTATAACACGAACCATTAAGATTAAAATAAAGTTAAAAAGAATAAATTATATTATACAGGAGTTATCAATTTTTTTGTATCCCCTTGATTAATTTTTCTTTAAAAAAGAAAATTATTAACTTAAAAATGTTTAATGACAAACATGGGTATAATAAATTTGAAAAAATATGTAAACTTAATGCATTAATGCATCATATGACAAACCTAAAATAAAAATTATAACAGATAAGTAGACATAAGAATTTGTAAACCAAGCTGACCCGACCCGGGTCTTGATAAGTCTGTTCAACACAGACCATTTCTATATTATTTGTTTGGCCTCTTTATTTCATTAATTTTTAGTAAACGGTATTGGCAAAATACCGTTTACTAAAAATTCCATTTGTAACTCGAAATTTAATTTTCTTAAATATTTTGACTCTAATAAAGAAGTTCCTCCCCTCTTTTTGCTTTAATGGTGACCAGGTGAATAAAATAATAAAATGTAAAACAATGATTTACATATATAAGAATGTTTTCTTTCTTTCCTCAAAAGTGTTGCAAATACAGACTAAGCTAACTAATTAGTTAAACACATAAATAAAACTTGAGTAACTCGATATTAATGCGCAAAACTACAATATTCTCCATGTTTTTAAAGGTTTTTAATTACGACCCCCCCCCCCCATTTACAAAGATCCCCTTAAAATACGTACAACAAATTATTAGGCATAAAATAGATAAAATATAAAATTAACCAATAGCATATATTTATATCTTTTTAACTAAGAAAAATTTACAATAAAAAGAAATCAGGTTTTTTTATTTTATAAATCTTATGTGTCATAACGTAATTCTAAAAAAAAAGGTAATGAAATTATGATATCATAATTACAAAGAAGAACAAAAACAAAATTGTTGTCTTGGCTTTTATAGTTTAAACATATATAAAACTGTAAACAAATATGACTTTATAACACATATAAACACATTTTACAACTATTGAATGATAGATATATTTATTAAAAAATATGAAAAAAAAATAAATAACGATAAATAAAGTTATACATACAAAATGTGCTCACAACCTTTAACAGTAAATTGTCGAAATGAAAATCTCAAGACTATAAATTAAGAACATTAAAAAAAATAACAATATTTATGTTACATTTTTTACCTACTATAACTTGAATAAGTTGTTTATCAATTTTGAAAAACAAACTATTAAATGCTCTAGTTCTTGAAAATGCAACATATAGTTGACCATGAGAGAAACATGGTTTTTGAGATATTTCTTTTGTCTATATTTTTTATTTCGCGTTACGTAATATATAGACGATCCCTAAAATAAAATACTTGAAACTAAAAAGATTTTATTTATTACAATAACCAATAACAACCAAGGGACAATTTTAAGAATTATATCTTTAAATAGCAAATTATCAATCGCAGTATTAAAAAATACGCAAGAGCTCAGTAATTACATGAGTTTAATCTATTCTCTCTCTATACTAATTCTTATTTAAGTCTCATCTAAGAGAGAGAGGAAGTGTTTTAAAAACAACACGTTAGAAAAAGTAAAAAAGTCATGCAATAAATAACAGTAACTGGTTTTATTATGCTACCAATAAACAAAATTATACGTACCTTAACTAAAAGTTAATTTCCAGCATTTCTTAATTAAGTTCCAGCTTCCTTTAACTGTTGACAAATGATTAATATTGTAAATTTCACATCATATTAAATTTCCAAATTAAAACCATGTTTCAACAGTAAGCAAAATAATCAAGTGATGACAAAAACAACTAAAAAAAATAAATGAATAAATAAAAAAATCATTAAAAATTGAAACTGTTATTACTTGTTACTATAAATAGTAAAATTCATACATTAAAATTAAAATATTAAAAATAGTAAAATTCATACTTTAAAATTAAAATATTAAAAATAGTAAAATTCATACTTTAAATTTTATATTTTAAAGTGTCTAATGTAAAATCAAATAATAGACATCAACACTGCTTGACACTAAATTCTGACAAAAAAGTTTTCTGTTCATCAAGCAAAATTTCTTATATTTCAACGACAATTAATTTTATCACGCCTAGATCAATTTCTTTCATATGACAACAATTTTAAGTCACCTATAACCATTTACACTAATAACTTCATCGAGCCTAATATTATACATCTGTTATAATTAAATATATTACCAGTGATTATACTACTGTTACAACTGAATAAAAGAACGCTTTATATTTTTACAACTGAAAAATATAAAACAAAATTTTTGACATTATTTTAATTTAGCAAAGAATTTAGACTACAATGCAAAGTTATTTTTACCTTCAGGCACAATTTTAATGCACAAAAATAATAAATGCTGAATCTTGTATAAAAAATGAAAAATATGTTTATATATTCAAATTTTTTCTATTCCTTTTAATTTTTTCTATTCCTTTTAATTTTTTCTATGAGATAATATTAATATAGATTCAGAGAAATATAAAATATTCTGATATATACGCACATTTATGTATATAAACTTACCTGTCAAAAATTACAGTCAGTTTTTCATGCTAAATACATAAAATATATATGCACTAAAAAATAAAATAAATCTTGCTTTGCTAAGTTGCCTAGTTCTTAAGAATCTGAAAACAAATAAGTAAAAAACCAAGAACAAACAAACATTTTTTTATTAAAACTAATCTATTCAAACAAATTAAATAAAACAGAGAACAACATTAATTCTCTTTGAAAGCTGAAAAACTTTTCATTTCAAATTTGCTTGCAGACCTTGCTTATAAAACCATTTTAATAAGAAAAGCATCAAAAAAGCCTAGAAGCTACTTAAAAA